GGCGCCGCACTTCAAGAGGGATGTGGACAGCATGGAGAGGGTCCAGAGGAGGGCCACTCGCATGATCAGGGGACAGCAGGGCAGGCCCTATGAGGAGAGACTACGGGACCTGAACCTGTTCAGCCTCCAAAAGAGAATGCTGAGGGGGGATCTTGTGGCCTGTTATAAACTAGTCAGGGGGGATCAGCAGGCATTGGGGGAGTCACTGTTCCCCCGAGCACCGCCAGGAGTGACCAGGAATAATGGTCACAAGCTGACAGAGGGCAGGTTCAGGTTAGACATCAGGAGGCGCTATTTCACGGTCAGGGCGGCTAGGGTCTGGAACCAACTTCCAAGAGAGGTGGTGCAGGCTCCTACCCTGGGGGTTTTTAAAAGGAGGTTAGATGAACACCTTGCTGGGGTCGTTTGACCCCAGTGCTCTTCCTGCCATGGCAGGGGGTCGGACTAGATGATCTGCTCAGGTCCCTTCCGACCCTAGAAGCTATGAAACTATGCATTTTTTCCTCCTTGGCACTTAAGTGTAAACAGAAGGATACTGTGCATCTGCATCTTGCTTTGTCTCCTTCTCAGTGTAAATAGCTCTAATGGCACGACCTAGATGGGGTTGCCATAGTTACCAGGTATCTTTGTCAAGGACAGTGTTTTGGAGCAAGAATGCCACAGGCACGTATCTTTTTGTATCGCAGGCTGTTTGTGACCGGTTGCCACACCTGACAGAGAGCTGCTTCTGGAATCTTTTTTTTCATAAGTTGTGCACAGGCTCTTTTACTTGGTTTTTATTTGGAAATCTTATGGTTAAGAGCTTGCAGAAGTGTCTTCCTTTACCGCACTGTGTTTAGTGTACTGAACTGAGGAGCATCTCTCAGGTTCACTTAGTTTATATTTAGCATGTGGATGTTAAGCCTTTTGCTGTATTATTTTGTTAGCATATATTCCATATTTCTGACTCTTCTGGGTTTTCTCAGTGTTTTATGCTAGAGGATCTGGGTGTGTACCATGATCCACTGAAGTTATTTACAGATCTTCCATCTTTTTCTTCTCATTGCTCCATAATTCTACAGAAAATGCATAAACACTACCAACATTCACAGACCATAGGAGCTAACAATATAGAATACAGGGGCTAAAAACAGACAACCAGTGTGATGCAGCCCTGATTAGACTGGGGTATGGCCCACACCAAAACAGATATGGCACAGCCATTTACACACTAGGCTTCAGTGACAATTAAGGTGAATTAGTTGCAGTTGTTCCAAGACAAAATGTTAATTTGAATAAATTACAGGTACTTAATGCGGGACATTGAATTTGGCTGTCTGTAAGATCTGGATTTGATGTGTCACAAAATGTTCCAGTGCGACTCAAACTGGTTATCTGTTTTTAGCCTAAAAGATCCTGCCTGGTTGCCTATAAGTAGCAGCTGCGTTTCATAGGATTTCCTCAAGTGCAGACTTCTGCATTAGTACACTAATCTCACCTGTCATGTGACCAACAGAATTGTATGGTGTCCATGAGCATTGTCTCCAACATCTTTCTTTCCTCCCATTCATTTGGCAGTTAGGTTTACATGACTGCCTGTCAGGTGCTAATTTCTGTGTTTCTTGCCCCCTCCCCACTTCTGTAGAACATGATTCTGATTCTGACAGTGAGCTATCTCTTGATGAACATAGCAGTTCCTATGCCTCCTCCCATTCATCAGACAGCGAGGAAGATGGGATTCAAACAGCAAAGAAATGGAACACAGCTACTTCAAAAAATAATGAACGTGGCCCTCTTCACAGTACTCCCAAAGGTAGGACTACTGCTCAGGTCCTCAGAATGGTTTCCTTTCCTATATTAAAAGAAATCAATTGAGCAGTGGATGCAACAGATTGGACCAAGACAGTATAGAGCTGCATGTCTGTTGTGTTATTGTTGATGTTGTCAAGAGATCCTTGTTTCCTGGAGCTTTTTCTCCTATAGGAGTTTGTCCCCTGTAATGAGTGAATACAAGAACAGAGGATATCTGAGCAAGTCTGCACCAGCTACTTAGAATACCAGTGCAGAATAGCAGTTAACATTGCAGTCCTGCAGAGCTGTAACTGTCCACAAACCCCAGCAGATGAAAATGGCACTGCTCAAGTAGCTCTAAATGTCAGACACAAAGTAAACTTTAACTAAAACTATGCCAGGTCTCCCAGGTTTTAAACTGTTGCCTGTACAGCCAATATTCACCCAAGTTTTCAGAGCTTCAGAGTACTTTTTTGTTTAAGAGAGCATTTTTGACAAGCTCATTCACTAGTGTAGTTAGCACTGGGGCTCTGGCTAAAATGATGGTGATGGCTTTCCATTCAGCTCTTTAAAATAAGCCTCTGGTCAGTGTCATACTCACAGCATTATGTGATCACCTGGCAAATTGACAGTTCTGCAAAGTGTAAAAGCAATTGTGAGGATTTGCTTCATGCACACAAGACAATTTCCTGGCTTCCAGGAGACAAGCTGCACTAATATTGCAGGTTTTTTTTACCTATGGGTTTTTAACATTCTACCATCTGAGTGCCCTCACCTCCCATCACTTTGTAGAAAGGGGAATTTGCTAGCAAGAACAGTATGAAACCATTTCTTCTTCAAGGCTAGACTACCCCTGCATACAGTAGGGATGGGTGCCAGGAACTCCACACTGCCTCCATAGCAATCGTGGCCAGCAGGACAACCCATCTGCTGTCCCTGGACTACCTCAAACATAGTGGCTGCTTTGTGCATTCATCCTCTTGGGTACAACACATCTCAAATTGTGGGGAGGAGATGGTAAGGCCATGTTTTCAACACAGCCAGACCCTTAAGGGAGAAAGAAGAGCGTGTGACAAGGTAGTCCAAGAAGGTCTCTGTACACAGAGTCCTCCCAGAGCTCCACTTTGGGCAATGTTCATTTAATTGCTGCCAATATGAACATTTCTAACTGGCATGAAGAAGCCTTAAGGCAGGAGGTCAGGTTAGGGTGTCTTTAGAATTGATCCACAGCTATCAACAGAAAACCACTCCAGAGAATAAGAGCAGCCAGGCAGTAGTGGAGGCAAGAACTGTATTGTCAAACAGTGGTTTTCGAGCCAGTGTCTTTTTGCATTGCAGTTGATTCCATACCCAACCATGTGAAACCATATTGGCCCACAGAGTGTATAACAGGAAGCGATGGGGAGGACCCTGGTGGCAAACAAAAACTGAAAGTGGAGACAAAGGTCAATGTGGAGCTACATGGGGAAAACCAAGCGAATCACAGCAGTGAAGCACCGCAAGACAAAGAGAATGAAGGGCAGCAGAAAGAAAACAGGCCTTTGCCCCACCAGAATAACCAGCAGCCAGAACAGAGGAAAGGTAAAACAGCCAACCCACAGAGACTCCAGCTGAAGTTTCCTACAGGGAGACACTGAGAAATTTGCCAAATTCCTCCCTCACTTCACTGAGTCTAGTAGCTTTTCTGGTAATCTGTAAGATTTGGGGATGAGGGGTAGAGAGGCATTCACCAAAGTTGGCCACTGGACATGATTCATGTTTAAGTAAAACATGGGAGAGGAGGAATACCCTTCCAACAGGCTTTGGCCTATATAATCAGAGGTGTCTCCAGAGAGCCCATAGCTCCAGGGATGTTTTTTTGCCTTGGTCAGGGCTTTGGGGACAAACAAAAAGTAAAGAGACTGAAAAAGACATTTCTTAAATGTGTTCTGATTGAGAAGATGTCACTGGTGTGCTTAAAACTCATAATTTTTCCATCCTTCTTCCTGTAATAGGCATCTTAAAAAATAAAGTCTCCTACCCTCCCCCTCTGCTGGACAAGAACATGAAGAATCGACTACGGGAAAAGTTGTCAGATTATAATCAAGCCACAATCTCATCCAGGACTATGTCCTTAGGGACAAATGATGGGATGCGTTCACCCTCAGACACAGGGGTGACGATAAAAAATCCACGGAGAGAACAGTCTTGTGATCAGCTCAATGGGACGGCTATGAACGTCCACGTGGGAACAGTAAATGCAGAGACCTCAGATTCTGAGTAAGTGCCTGTTTGACAGCTTGCCCACTGCCCAGGATTGCTGGCTTCACCTTTCACTTCTTTGCCCTGAGTTGACGTCCACACAAGCCTTTTCACTTTAGACTTTTTAGGCAATTGGATCACAGCCCTCAACCACTTGGCATCTCACAAAATAGAAAAAGAAAAACAAAGCTGTAGGAAGCCTGCTCAACAATTCTACATGTTACAGCTAAACATGTACTACAGACCAGCAGCTGGCAACCTTTAACAATCTGGCACTGGTCTGATGCAGGCCAAGTGGCTTTGCTGGCACATCAATGGCAAGGGATTTCCCTGGGCCCACACTGATCCCTGGAGAGCTGCACTGGGCCTGGGCAGCTACAAACTGTATATACCCTGTTTCTGCTTCTCCCTGCTTCCTTTCTGCCCTTCTCCATCCCCTTCCTCCCAGCCCTGGAGCAGCTCCTACCCAGTTGGAGGGAGTGCCCATGCTGAAGCTGGGGAAGGAAGGCTGGGCATGGGTCCAAGCACAGGGAAAGCCCTCCAGGTTCACAACCCTCTCTTTTCTTCTCATCCCTATCCACCCCCACCAACCACCATGAAAAACACCCACCAAACAGCCACAGAAAAGGTAGAAGGCTGAGAGCTGTAGGGAGATAGGAGGGAAGGAGTCAGAAAGTTGTTACTGCAGGAAGTCACTGAATGGGGTGGGTTGGTGGCAGTAGAGGGGAGGGATCAGAGAGATGGGATTGCAAGGAATCTAGGGAAGCTGGCAGGCAGGGAGAAGAGGGAGGGAAGGTGTGGAGCTGCCATGGCCAGTAACAGGGCCATGTTAATCCATAATACAATACCAGCTTAAAAGGTATTCATGGAATCCTGTTATCCACCGTGATTACTGATGAACTATGGCTAGAGTTCAAATTATGAAAACAACGTGGAAAAAATTCTTTTTTTATACAAGTTTGTCTTTAGCTTTTCTTTAAACTACACAGTAGTAGATACTGTTATTCTTTCTACTGCCAATAGGAAATTTCTAATCAGCTTCACCAATGGCATTGTGACCTTTTAAGCCTGCACATTTTCAGGTACTGCCTGAGCTACTACACAGAACTCTCATGTGAAATTCAGCCTCAGGTCCTTGGGAGCTGGCTCTTGAAAATGTACCCCAAAGTGAAAGTGAGCCAGATAGCCTAAACATGACTAATAGCTAATTGCTGCTATCATAGGAAATGGCTGGCCAACCAGCACAACTAAATAGATATATTTGAAATCCTCTGTACCTTCTGTATACAAGCAAGGCAGTGCTGAATAATGGCACCTAGGACATGAATTTCCAGTATCTTGTAAAAAAATTTTAGCATCTAAACCTTGTGTGTCATTTTAGATATTAACCAATTACACAAGCTTTTCAGACCTTCTTTTAATAATGCATTTCTCTTTGCATCACCTGTAAATAATATTTTCTGTCTCTTCTTGTCTGTTGTAATATGAGCAGTCTCTTTCTCACAAGCACTTGATTAGTGAAGTATGATGACTTCACAGTGCATGACTGGTCACTTACTAAAATGGAATAGGTAGCGTCACTTGGAATTATTTGCTTATCTCTATTTAACCCTAAGCCTGCATGGTTACTTCTTCTCATGAACAGAGGCAGTAATGAAACTTCAATTTGAATCATCAGGAAACTGTGATGATGGTTGCATCCTGGGAATACTTGCTGTGATGTCACTTCCTTGGTACCTCGAATTTCACAGAAATTGCTGCATGGCAAGGATGAGGATGGTATCACTTCCTTTGCTGTGACATATTTTGGCAGACTTCTGACTGTACGTAAAAGAAAAATCATGCCCAGGACATGCATGATGAAGCCACGTTGTGGTACATTCTGCCGTGTGTGAATATGTGAACTGTGCCAAAATGCATGGAGATGAGTAACAGGGATTCTTTATAGTGGATGGATAACTCATAAGTCCAGAAAAGAAAAATAGCAGTGCTTGCAGGGACTGCTCATCTGTACAGCCTATGCTAATGATTTTCACAGAAACCATCTCTATTCCAGTGGGCTACTGTTCCAGGATAGTTAAATCAGGAAGTCAAACCACATCAGCCTTAAGGCAAGCACTAGGAGGTGCCTCTTTTTCTTTTTCAGTATGAACCTTATGGCTTGCTGAACTCTAGAGAGAGAAATATCACACCAAGTGCCCTTTAGCATCTTTGCCAGCATTTTACCAGCCTTTATGGATGCATTGTCTTAAAAAATGTCCTTTTATATATATATATATATATATATTAAAAAAAATGTAGATACTTTTATATATTTTGTATGGTGACTCTAAAGAAAATGTTCCATTGTATATTTTACATTTATACTCATCTTCTTAATTTGATAGTAGGAAATCAATGGAAAGAGTTTTTGATATTTTTATATGAAAAAAATTGCACAATTGTACTTGAATTTGGCATCTGACAGTGTACTTATCTTTTGCATGAAACCACCCTAAGATGTGATTCAGTTTCAAAAATAGTACAGTGAAAAGGTTGAATCTAAATTGATAAGTATAATTTATAGGCTTCTATTGCCAGAATTTTTAATATTTTAAAGGAAACTATGTATTTTTATAACCTTTACTAAAAGGAACAAAAAGGTTTCTTGTTTTTATGGCCTTTTCTCTCACATTGTTATCTGAGCACACAAAAATATTCAGAAATTAAATTTTACAACTGAAAATTCAAGTCATATCTTCAGTCAATTGAAGATTTCAGAACAGCTCTTGCAGGAGAGAGATCAAATTGACAAATTACAATGTTGCCCTATTTAAAATAATAAAGCTTGTGTAATTTTACATGCTGGTCACCTATTGACTTTCCTTTTCATCACGTTTCTCTTGCTAAGCAACAAACCAGGGCCTTTTTCTGAGGACAAATTTGTACATTTCCCTCATTGGACAAAACTGGTGTGAAACTTGCTGCTTTGTTTCCCTTCTTTATTTTTTTTCCACCTCAAGTCAGCATTTTGCTAAACAAAGCAGACTCTTAAGTTTTTCAGTTTCATTTCTCAACTGTTTGACAAATTCTTGACTATCCTGACATTCTGCACTTGCATACATACGCGCACGCACACGCACACAATGCACACACACACACACACACAGTGATTTAACGTTTTATCCAAAGTGAGCAGAGTTTCACAAGTGTAAGAAAAATAAGTGTGTTAAGTCAACCAACCTCATCTTTTGGCAGTGTTTACAAAAACAAAGATGTGAAAATGTTCGTGTCCACAGCAAAGTTTTAGAGAAAAGCTTGTTAGCAATTTGTTTTGGCTTGAATATCTGACTCAGAATGACTTCTCAGAATTATTCTTGTGAAAAAAAACATTTGTTATCTACCTTTTCTAGTGGTTAGTAGTTCATGTTATAACAATTTTTCATAGCTACCATTTTGAAAGGATATTGGCTCTCCCTTTGTATGAATGTGCAAGTGAGAAAGAACAAGCAGAATCAATATATCAGGATGAATAAAACACATCAAGTTAGCTAAAATTCAATAAAGTATATAGCAGTCTTGATTCTGTTGTATTTTTCTACATGTTAAGGTGTACTTAAGAGGCCTTTGGAAGGGGGAGAAGCATGCTATCTCAAAATTATGCAACATACTGTGTGAAATTTTCTGATTGAAAATTGTTTTGAATGTTTCTGTCTGACCATCACCCCAGCAAAGCGCTTGGACATACTGTATAATCCGTGTTACAGTCATTTTGCATCTGTGTATGTATATTTTGTCCCAGTGAGATGTAGTTAGTTTTTACTTTGATCAGAACTCTTGCAGTAAATAAGTGTCAGTTGTATTAATGACAGAAATTTAAAACCTATTTTTATGACTTTTTAAAAACTTTATGGCAGATTAGACACTGGAGGTTTTTTTAACAAATGTGTATTTATTAATGTGCAGACACTGGAAATGCAGCACAGATGAAAGGAGAATTTACAATAAATTAAGATTTTGAATTTGTATTCCTGTTCTGGCAGTTTATTTTTGAAAGAGTATTAAAGTTGAAATGGATGAAATTCTTGGTATCACCTCCCTTCCTTTATTTG